GGGCGGGGCCAGCGCTCCCGGCCCCACCCTTCCAGGTTTGGAGTCGCCCACTTCTCCACAGCCCCCGCCCACTCCCCCAATGGGCCCGCCCCTCGTCGCCTAGCCCCGCCTACTCCATCGGCTGCCCCCGCCTTTCTCGTCTTGGCCCCCGCCCTCCCTGGCCAGGCCCCGCCCCCCCCGAGGCCCCGCTCCGCCCCTTCCCGGACCAGGTTCCCGACCAGGTCCAACCGCGCGGGCCTGCTAAGGGTCGTTGAGTCCCTAGGCCCCCGAACTCTGGGCCGAGTTTCGGGGTCCCGGGCCTGGGGGTCCCGACTTATGTTCTTGCTTGTGTTGTGACCTGGGAGTCGCTTCTGAGTGTCAGTTTGTGCATCTACAAGGCATGCTGGCGCGGAGGGTCTCTTAGGGCACCTGTCTGTTCAGGGGACTTGGGGCTGGTACCTACAGGGCCTGGTAGGGTGTTCGAGGCCATGGTCCTCACAATGGGCTGATGTCCTGAGGCTTAGCACAGCTTGAACCCTCTGGAGGGCCCCTGAGCAGGTGGGCATTTCCCACATTTCACAGAGGGGAAGATGCTGCCTGCAGAGGCTAAGTAGCTTGTCAAGGTCACACGCAGGAGAGTTGAGATCCCCCGTTTGAACCCCCCAGGTCTGACCATCTGACTCTGGGTGAGGGCTGGTGGGGTTGGGCCAGGTGGCTCTGGAGCCATGCTGCATTGGGGACATTCCCCATCACTCCGGCCTGGGTGCCCAGTACCCCCACCTGAAGTTGCTGAGAGTAGGGCGTGAACCCGGCTCTGGGGAAAACTCAGCCCTCACCAAGGGGCTGCCCAGTTCTGGCCATTTTTCCGCTCTCCTGGCCCACCCTGAGCACGGGGTCCTGGGCAGGAGACCACAGTGAGGGGAGGGTCTTCCCTGCCGATGTCACTAGGGAGGCCTGCGCCCAGGTGTCTGCAGGGGAGTTCTGCCGCTTGCCCTTCTCTGTCCTGGTGCCCACTCTGGGCCCCCTGAGGACCGCGAGTTTGGTCTTGTGCGGGCCCCTGCTCACTCCTTGAGCACCTGATGTGTGCTAGGAGTTCAGACATAACCCCCATTATCCCGGAACTTGACTATCAAATGGGGCAGACAGATTTTGAAAAAGTTCACAGACGTTTAAAGGCCACCAAGGAGCCTGGCAGATCTTGATTCTGCAGAGGTGACACCATCCTGAGAGCCTGGGGGGACAGTGGGGAGACCATGGGCAGGGTGCCGTGAGCTTAGAGGCTGCGAGAGAGTTAGCCACACTCTGGGTGAGCAGGGAAGCACTGGGGTTTTAGGCAGCTGCTTGTGAGATTAGATTTAGTGCCAAAGGGATCAACTGTGGAGGAGGGGGGCAAGACTGGATGCAAGAGCCCAGGCAGGGGCCTGACCTGGTGCTGCAGGTAGACGAGGGTGTTCCCCTGGATGAGGAGCCTGGCAGTGCAGACAATAAAGCAACGTGGGGTGGGGTCCTTGACCTGTGCCGTCCAGCACCGTCTGTTGAATTTTTTTTTTTTAGTTCTTTTCTTTCTTTAGATATTTTGCCATTTGTAGCCCTTCATTCACTTTTTTTTTCACTTTAAAAACCAGAATTTTATAACTGGCATAAACATTTTAATTGCATCAAAAACAACAGAATACTTACAAATAAACTTAACCAAGGAGGGTACCTATACTCTGAAAACTAAAAAACATTGATGAAGGAAATTGAAAATGATACGAAGAAATGGAAAGATACCTTGTGCTCTTGGATTGGAAGAATCAACATTATCAAAACGGCCGTACTACCCAAAGCAATCTACAGATGCATTGGAACAATGCAACAATGTTTTGGAGCAGACAATTCTAAAATTTATAAGGAACCATAAGACACCCCAAATTGCCAAAGTAATCTTTTATAAGTCTTCCCCACACTTTCTTCTTTTTGTTCTCTTTGCTTATGGTTTGGTGATTAGAGAAGTTCCTTTAACATTTGTTGTAAAGCTGGTTTGGTGGTGCTTAATGCTTTTAGCTGTTGTTTATCTGTGAAGCTTTTGACTTCTCCATCAAATCTGAATGAGAGCCTTGCTGGATAGAGTAGTCTTGGTTGTAGGTTTCCCCCTTTCATCACTCTAAATATATCGTGTGACTTCCTTCTGGCCTGTAGAGCATCTGCTGAAAAATCAGCTGAAAACCTTATGGGAGTTCCCTTGTATGTTATTTGTTGCTTTTCTTTTGCTGATTTTAATATTTTCTTATCCTTAATTTTTGTCAATTTGATCCCTGTGTGCCTTGGTGTGTCCCTCTTTGGGTTGATCCTTTGTGGAACTCTCTGAGCTTCCTGGACTTGGGTGACTGTTTCCTCTCCCAAGTTGGGGAAGTTTTCGGTTATTATCTCTCCAAAAATTTTCTAAGGTCCCTTCTCTCTCTCTTTCTGGGACCCCTATAATGCAAATATTAATGTGCTTCATGTTGTCCGAGAGTGCTCTCTCTTTTTTTCCCCCAGAGTTCTCTTAAACTATCCTCATTTCTTTTCATTCTTTTTTCTTTTTTCTGTTCTGCAGTAGTGATTTCCACTAATCTGTTTTCTAGCTCACTGATCCGTTCTTCTGCCTCATTTTGTCTGTTCTTGGTTCTTTCTAGTGTGTTATTCATTTCAGTGATTTTATTTTTCAACTCTGTTTGGGTTTTCTTTATATTTTCCAACTCTTTGCTAAAACTTCACTCTGTGGACCTGTACTCCTCTTGAGTTCTCTGAACTTCTTTGCCATCATTATGCAACTCTTTCTTGGATAAATTACCTGTCTCCTCATCACTTATTTCTTCTGGGATTTTATCTTGTGCCTTGGCCTGGGAGATATTCCTCTGCTGCCTCGTGTTTTCTATCTATTTGTATTTTTAGGTAGGTGAGTTACATTTCTTGACCTTGGAGAAGTGGCCCTCAGTGGGAGACGTCCTATGTGTCCCAGTAGTACACTCCTCTCCTGTCACCCGAGGGCCAGGGTCCAACTGGTCCCAGTGGAGAGGCTGGACTGTGTTTGTGGATTCCTTCCAGAGGCTTTGGGAGTGTTGGTTTCTTATT